AATTTTTTTTTACATATTCTAGATTTATGTTTCACAACAAAGGAAATCTTATCCACCAAGGGACATTTGGAAATGTCTAGAGACATTTTTGGTTGACACAGTTGAGGGAGGCCTGTACCTGTCCTCCTTCTGCTTTTCTCCATCTCTCCCTTGCTCCCTCCCTCTTCCTCCTTTTGAGCTTTCTAGATCACTTTATTAACCTGAGGTTGTGGGAGCCCTGATTTTTTATTTCATTTTTTTCTTCTCCGTTCTTCAGTTTAGGTATCTTTTATTGATCTACCTTTAATGTCTTTTATACTTCTGCAGTATTCAATCTGCAGTTAAGTTCATCTAGTGAATTTTCATTTGGAATGTTGGACTTTTTCGCTCTAGCATTATTTTTTGATTCCATTTTCTAGTTTGTTTCTTCTGCTAAGATTTCTTTTTGTTCATTATGTTCACTTTTTAGTATTTATAATAGATGTTTAAGTCATTAAAGTTTTTGTCTGCTAATATCAATATCTGGTTATCATGTTTTTATTTTGGGTCACATTTTTCTGTTTCACATGTCTAGAGAGTTTTGATTATGTGCTGTACGCGTGTGTGTGATACATTTTGTAGGGTTATGAATCATGTTGCCTTCCTTTAAAAGTTGTGAGCTTTGTTCTGGCAGGCAATTAAATTACTGAAGGATCTTGAACCTGTTAGGCTTGTTTCAGTACTTTGTTAGGGGTAGGTAGCCTCTTCTAGCTTTATTTTTAATTTTAGGGCAGGGCTCCTTTTCAAGGGTGTAGTCCTTATTTTTAAGATGTTGCTTTTCTGGAATCTTATTTAACTGAATGCCCGAGGAGCTCAGCAAGAACTCTCTACTTGTATTGATTTGGAACTACTCGATCTACCCACGTATATGATCTCTGGTATCTGATATCTCCAGTTACCTCTTAGTCCTAAAGCTGCCTGCCTGCCTTCTTTTCTTTTTTCTTTTCTTTTCTTTTCTTTTCTTTTTTGCTTTCTTTTCTTTTCTTTCTTCCTTCTTCTTTTTTTTTTTTTCTCAGAGTCTCGCTCTGTTGCCAGGCTGGAGTGCAGTGGCGCGATCTTGGCTTACTGCAACCTCTGCCTCCCAGGTTGAAGGGATTCTCCTGTCTCAGCCTCCCTCCCAAGTAGCTGAGACTACAGGCGTGTGCCACCACACCCAGCTAATTTCTGTATTTTTAGTAGAGGCAGGTTTCACCATGTTGACTGGATGGTCTCGATCTCTTGACCTCGTAATCCGCCTGCCTCGGCCTCCCAAAGTGCTGAGATTACAGGTGTGAGCCACCGCACCTGGCCAGCAGCCTTTCTTTCCTTGGAGATTCTTGCCCTGCCCAGGTGCAGTTTGGCCTTAGCCAGGGTCTTAGGAAAACACTTAACGCAACTTTTATGCCACCCCTTCCCCACTGTGGCACGGTTCCCTTCCTTCTTGTGCTGTACCTACAAATTCTAGCCTCAAGTTCTTCGCCTCCTCAGTTCAGGGAAATCATCTCTCTTTATTTGGTGTATTAGTCCATTTTCACACTGCTGATAAAGACACCCGAGACTGGGAAATTCACAAAAGAAAGAGGTTTAATTGGACTTACAGTTCCACAGGCTGGGGAGGCCTCACAATCATGGCAGAAGGCAAGGAGGAGCAAGTCACATCTTACGTGGATGGCAGCAGGCAAAGAGAGCTTGTGCAGAGAAACTCCTGTTTTTAAAACCAGATCTTATGAGACAATCCATTCCCTATCACAAGAATGACACAGGAAAGACCCGTCCCCATGATTCAGTCATTTCCCATGAGGTTCCTCTCACAACACCTGGGAATTATGGGAGCTACAAGATGAGATTTGGGTGGGGCACAGAACCAAACCATATCACTTGGGTCTCACCTTGCTATGCTGTGATAGAAAGTACTCTTATGCAGAAAGCCGGGGGTAATGTGGGGGCTTGTCAGTGTGTTTCCGTCTCTCAGGTCCCCTGCTGCCTGTTGTCCAAACCTAAAAACAATTGTTTCATGTATTTTGTCCATTTTTTTTTGTTGTTCTTATTGCTGTTTTGAAGTGGAGAATAATCGGGTGCCATTTATTCTATCATGGTCGACAGCTTAAGTCTTCCCAAACAACTTTAAGAGAAAAGAAATGTAACATAAACAATTTTGAAATTATAATACATTGGTAACTAAACAGAAGGTAAACCAGTTGTGATTTCTTTTTCAAGTAGCTATTCGTAACATACTAATAAGTGAAGGAAATTTTATTACTTGCTTGGTGTTCAAAGGCTAATGTGATAGGTAGCTATGTTATGAGCTGGTACAGTAGTAATTTGTTCATGCCCTGTAAAAGAAGCCATTTGTTGTTAACAGATGTTCTTCAGAACATGACAACACTATCCAAAGAAAATTGTTAGAGTTGGTATATCCGTGATAGGGCTCTCCCAGAGGCTGAACTCCCTTCATTATAACTTAGATAAGACAGAGTTACTGGGTTGCCGCTATAAGCAATATTTTACTAAGAGGGCCCCTTAAACAGGAACTGGTCATTATTTATACTGTTGTCTTCCCTGTCACTGGTGCTCAGGATTGTTGAGCCTAAGCGGGAGTGACATTTTAAATTTCGTGAGACCATTCAGAGTGTCTTTCTTGATTTCCCAGAACCTCATCCTTCTCTGGAGTAATCAATGTTAGTTGGGTTTCCTGTTTTCATTTCTGCCTTTCACATAGCCCATGATACTGAATATAGTTGGCTTCACATGTTCTAAAACATGTTCACATTGTTTGTTATCATCAGTAAAGTACTATTATGTAGAATCCCTAAAATTGTATATACAATGTGAACTGATGACTTTATGCTTTGAAGTGGCAGGTTCATTTCTTAACCAATTCTGGGCAAAGGACTTAGCTTTGTGTGTGTGTGTGTGTGTTGTACTTTATTTTGTTCTAGCTTTTTGGGCTGAGATAATGTGTTTCATGTGCATGCTTGTGTAAATATGGATTTTATACATATAATTAAAATGTTTATATAAAAGAGATTTCTGGCAATACTTAGCAAGTTTTTTGTTTTGGTTTCTTTTTGTCATGTATCATCTTCTTGCTAGATGCCTTGCTTTTACAAGACTGATTAAAAGTTTTCAAGGTGTTATTTGTCACTAGTCTTCTGTATCATACAGTTCTGAACACAAAGAGAATACCTAGCACCAGTATAAGATTCAAAAGAAATCAGTAATCTTTCTGGCTTATGCTTTTAAAGCATGTTATAATTGCATTCAGTTGCTTTGTTTTTCCCATGAGTGCTTCAAGGTTTCATGCATTTTTTTCTCAGCTAAATGCTGACGAAGTTGTTTGTATTGGCACAGGTACTTTTTAAAAATAAATAAACTGATACTTGAAGCAGCCAAAGATCTATATAAAAGAGTATTTTACAGGTGAGACTTATTTCCCAGCATTATTAGATAAAAAATATATTTCCCATAAAGTGTTTTTCAAATAAAAGATAATGCTGTTTAAATGCTAGAATTGGATTATAACTTTTTTTTTTTTCCGAGTTGCTCTGTCACCCAGGCTGGAGTGCACTGGTGTGGTCTCAGCTCACTGTAACCTCTGCCTCTGGGTGCAAATGATTCTCCTGCCATAGCCTCCCCAGTAGCTGGGATTACAGGCGTGTGCTACCATACCCAGCTAATTTTTGTATTTTTGGTAGAGATAGAGTTTCACTATGTTGCCCAGGCTGGTCTTGAACTCCTGACCTCAAGTGATCCACCCTCCCTGGCCTCCCAAAGTGCTGGGATTACAGACGTGAGCCATCGTGCCTGGCCATTTATAACATTTTTAAGCTCAAGTGATCATTGAAACATTTAGCTTAGACCCTGTTTTGTAGTTGAGATAAGAACCAAAAAAGTGGCAAACAAAGGTAATCTGAGAGCCAGGATCCCAACCCAGGTTCTCCTGACTCCTAGTGCAGTACTCTGCTAAAGAGAGACAACTGTATAAGGCCATATGCCATACCAAGGTGAGCCTAGAATTCTCTGCTTAGGCATTGTTGGGTCTTTTGCTGTTGATGTGTGATATGTGCTCATTACAACCTCGCTCACCTACACTTACCTTCTGTTTGCTCAGATTCCCTGAGCTTGCCATTATTCAGTCTCCCAATTAGATGGACTCCTATTAACCTTTAAAAACTCCAACTGAGATGGCTTCTTTTCTAAGATTTATTTTCAACCACCTTTACATGCCCTCTTTTACCCCATAGATACTATTGTACCCTGTGCATCCTTCTGTTATTGTTATATCAAATTATAATTGGTTGCAGTTTTTTCTCTACTAAAGTGTAAGTTCTTAGTAACATCTCGTCTTGTGTTTTTTAATCCTAAAGCCTAATGTAGTGTCTTTTGAATTAATTAAATTGAGATTGCAGTGCTGGAAAACATGGAGTTTAAAATAAGCTCTGAGTAAAAGGCCCGGATGTTTGTTTTTAGTATTGTGTGACTTCTTGCTGCTTTTTTCTCCTTTTTACTTATTTCCAGAATTTAGACACATTGTGGATAGTTGAGGTTGCCAAGTCTGTGTGTTCAGATCACTAGTTCCTAAATATCAGGTCTGTGGACAAGCTACATCTAACTCGCCTATGGATTTTGTAACAATACAGTAGGTTTTCTGATTTAGTGAGTCTGGCATGGATCCCAGGATCCTTTTTGTTTTGTTTTGTTTATTTTAAATCTGTCAATCAGGTTATTTTGATGATCAGCTGAAGTTAGAAACCAAGTTTCAGGATAAGGTGTTAGAGCAGTGTGAGATGGCTTGGAGCAGATTCTTCCTTGCTTTAGTAGTTCTGTAAGCTGCTTAAGAGCTTGTGAGTTTCTTATTTCTGGTCCCCAAACACGTATAGCACATAGTTTATAGTAATGAGAATAGGTTTAAATTGTCACCTTTAAGATGTTTTTAATCCAGGTTTTGATTAATTATAAAAATGGTGACTGATTAACCTTTTTATTTTTTATTGTCATTTAAGGAGTGTTCAGCCTGGGTGTTCCTGTAGATGCTCTCTTCTTTATTGGTAACCAGTTGGTGGCCACGAGTCATACAGGGAAAGTGGGAGTGTGGAATGCTGTCACTCAGCACTGGCAGGTTAGTTTTAACTAAAGCATATTACAGAAGTTAAAATATTTCTGAAACGTATGCTGATTATGTATTTTTTTTTCCTTGTAGAATTCATATTGTTTCTGGTTTCGATTATACAAATATTGAATGAATGTAGTGGTCAATTTTTTTACTAGATGCATATTTGAGCATATTTTCAAGAGTTTAAGTTACTTTGGAAAATAAGTGAGTTTTTTAAACTGTGGTTTGGCATTTCTCCATTTGTTTTAAATGTTCGAAGTTCAATGCCTTGAGCATGGTAGTCCAGGCAAATTTTATTTCCTGAACAGGAGCACAGATCTGTGTGAAAACCCATAATCTGTTCAGAGATGATAGCACGCTAAATACTCTCAAGTACTTGAGAGGAGTAAGAAAGAGGTAAGACTTTAAAAAGGTCTTACCTTTTTAAATCAGAATACCTGATTCTTAAAGGAAAGAGGAAGAATTAAGGACTTTAAGCAGGGAGTGACATAAGCAGATCCATGTTTTAGAAAGATAACAGTGGTTGCTAAAATGAAAGGTGGACTGGAGGTCAGGAGGGAATCTACTACAGCAATACAGCAATCGAGAAGCAGAGGACTTCAGCTAATGGCAGTGGTAGTCGAGGTGGCAAAGATGAGTACATTTGAAAAATATTTCATAGACCTTCCTAAAATGACAGGTCTGCTATCTGATTGATGTGGGAAATTGAAGAAAGAGAAATGTATTTCTAATTTTGGGTTTCTAGTTTGACAATCCAGTAGCTGGTAGTATTTTGAATTGATAGGAAACGTGGGAAGAGAAGCAGATAGGCTGGTGGGTCAAGTGAAGAATGGTTAAATTGATTAATACGTTTACTTTGAGATTCCTATGGTTATTCAAGGTAGATGTTAGGTATATAGTTGGAAGTACTCCTTTGGAATTTAGGAAAGAAGAAAGGTGAGAAATCTTTAGAGTCCATAATATTTATGTGATAAAAAAATTGATAAGATTTCCCATTGAGTGGGTATACAGAAAGAAAGCAAAGTCCAAATTAGAACTTTGGGGGAACGTTAGCATTTAAGGGGACAGGATAGACGACGAAGAGCCAAAGAACATGACATGATTGAGAAATGACATTAATTTTGGCAGTAGATATCATTTTCAAATATATATGTTAGGTGTTGGTGGAAGAAAGCTAGATGGCAGGAAATGAGGAAGTAAAAGATCAGAGAAAGGAGACAGCAGATTCAAATACCTTTCAAGAAGTTTGGTGGTGAAGGAAAGCAGAGAATCAAAGTGATGGCTTAAGGATCAATGCTGGTTTGAAAGAAAAGATATTTGGTGCTTTATTTTTCCTCTAGGTTAGGACAGGCTTGAGCATACTTGTAGCTAGAGAGAAGAGTTGCCGGAAGGACCTGAAGATTGAAAGAATGGAGATTATTTCTGGTCCCATAAAAGTCAAGAGTGTATGTGGAATCTATAGCACAGCTAGAAAGGTTGACTCCACAGGGAGTAGAGACATTTCTTTCTCTGTGACAGAAGGGTAAGGAAGGAGTAAAGAGAAGGGCATTGAAGACTATTGTCAAATACTGCAGAAATTATAAATAGTATATTTGCAGTAGGCCTGGGATCCCATGTAGTTCTTTAGTTACATAATCAAGGTTAATTTTAAGTATTTGAGTCAGATGAAGCAGGTTTGTATGTAATCTTAAATGTTTTTTGCAAAATCATGAGGACAGTTTCAATAAAATGTTAATGAAAATGTTATAAAAGTAAAAAAAAAAAATTAAAGAAATGTTTCTGTTTCTTGTTTCTATTTTTTGTTTAATTCCACACCGCCCCCCCCGCCTACACACACAAAATTATGTTACAAAAGAAGATTAATAAGGAATTAATTGGTATTGTCAAGTAGGTAGCCTAGGCTGTTACATAGCATAAGAGCAATTTTTAGGCACTGTTTCCCAAGTTGATATTTTAAATTTAGATTTGTATTGGAAATATGGATTATACATCTTTCATTCTCATATCAAAGCAGAGAGCTTTGGAAGTTAGCTCTGGAAAGGCCTTATGTACTTTACTTCCTAAAGAATCAGATAACTCATATGTATTCTGAGAAATAGAGATCTTCAGCCATAGTACCATCTGAGTGATAGCCTAGCCTCTAAGTACACAGTGGAGGCTGAGTTTGGGGAGGAAATGTTGGTTCTGGGAAGAATAATTCAGAGTGAATATCTGTGGTCTGATGGACTAGACTGGACAAGAATTTGGGAGTTGTGTTTAATTTAGCTTCTCTCTTTCCTGTTGTGAGGCACCTGTAGCACTGATGTTAGAAGCAAACTTTTTGTGTGTGTGTGATAGGTTTACAGACCTCCGCATATTAGGAATAGGAATAAGGCAGGCATTGGAATCCTGGGCCCACATTTTGTTGGGGAGAGAGAGGATTGACTTTTCAGTATTATGTCTTGACTGCTTTCTTAAGTATGGTCTGTTTGCTTACTTACAGAATTTATAGTAAGAAATACGAGATTCTTACTTAGATGTAGGCATTCTAAATTTATATAGAGAAATATTAGATACAAATATTGAAACAAGGTATATTGTTGATACTATGTATTAAATTATGTTAATTGACTAGTTTGTTTATACACATTTGCGTACCACATACCAAAGTAAAGGCTCTGGGATCTGGGATTTTAGCAAAAGCCGGCATAATTTCATGGGACAGTAGAAATTGAGCCTCCTACAAAACTCTGAAGGTTTAAGTTTCTCAATCCCTGAGAAGACTGGGAAAAGTTTGCCCAATAGTCTTGGAACGAGAAAGTTTGATGTGTGTTTGGTGTCTTGGAATGGGAAATGGAGATGCAAGAGTAAGCCATTAGAAATTGAAAGCAACATATTCAAATTAGGAGTGAATTGAAGCACAAAGACTTGCCTTTGTTGTATGAGAGCCCCAGTTTGAGAAACTGATTTAGAACCAATTACATTTCTAGATACAGACATGACACCAGTTAGAACACTTTCACGAAAGAGAGCACACAAGAATCCTGTCGAAGGAGTAATTTCTACTAAAATAACTTCCCAAAACTTATAAACTTCACATGGAAACAAATGATGAAAAGTCATCAAACATAAAAAATTTGCAGTCCCCAAATTGGAAATAATGGAACAATTAGAAAGCTGCTGTATTGAAGGAATAGGACAAATCAGAAAATGGAGGGAAATGAAACACTAAAATGTAAAAGATCATTGAAAATTTTTTTTTAAATTTATTTAATGGTTAAATAGAAGCAGAGCTAAAAGAAAATTAGTAAATTGACAGACACATCTGAGAAAATCATTTCCAGTTAAGCCAAGAGAGCGAGATAGAAAATATGAAAAAGGAGGAAAAAGTGAGAAAGTATTTCATGTAGGAACAGAGTAGAGGAGCTATATTGGAAAAGATAACAGCGGCTAACCTTTTGGAGAAATGAAAAAGGACATGAATTTATTGATTAAAGAAATGTACCAAGTCTTGGCAGCCTAAATGTTTAAATGTGCTGTAATAAAAGATATATTACGATAAAAAGTATTCACAGAATAGTGACAGTTTGCCTGTAATTAGACTTTGAGCAGATTCCTCATCACCACTAGTAGACACCAGGAGAAGACTATGGGCATTCTCCAAATGGCAGAGAAAGTAACTTTCAACCTAGGTTTTTATACACAGCAAAACTACCTGAATGAGAAGGGTTTTTTTCTGGAGAGAATTTCTCACTCATAACCCTCAATGAAAGGACTACTAAAGAAAAATGCCTTTTGAGAAGAAGGTTGTTTGTATTTGAAGGGGAAGAAATGGAATGCATTAAGCAGTGATTAGGAAATTGGAAAGTGGTAAATACAATGGTAAATTTAGATAAGTGATTATTTAAAAATTAATGGATGAAGGTTAAAATATCCTGTAAAAAATAATGATGAGTTTGCAGGTATAGAGATTATAGTTAAAAGATTCTAGGGGCCTTACATGGGAAGATAGAGTGGTATTTTAAAACTGTAAAACATTTAAATTTACGTGTAGAGATTAGTGGTAATCACTGTGTGCTACCTTATAAGAGAAAAATCTGCTTCATATTTTATTTGTGACCACATGACTGAACCATGCATACTAATCAGTATGGTTTCTTGGATTCTTGCCATGAAGTTGTTAGGATAAAGAAGAGGCTACACAGTGGCTGCTTCCTTGCTTGTGCTAGGAGGGAACTCAGCAGTTCTAACTCACTGTGATTCTGCTTATCCTCTGCTTTCTCTATTCTCGCTGTATTGAAGGGTAGACATGGAAAGAAAAGCAGATCATGATTAAGGGTTACAGAAAATGAAGTAGCAAGGCTTTAATCCTAGAGCCCGTCCTCCCAGAGAATAAATGGTTAAAATGTTTGCCTTTGTGCCTTGGGAAGTGCTAGGCTCCTCCTGCTCTTTCATTGGAGGAAAAAAAAAAAAGTATCCAAAGGGAGAAGAATCTCATGGCCTTATCTGTCCCCATTTTCCTGCCATGAAGATTCTGGGGTAGGAGTTTAAGCCCTTTCCTTTAGTGCTAGAGCTAAGTAATGATTTAGTTAACTTGGGTAAGAGAATTGGTTAGTGGTGTGTAAAGCAGTCTCCCCTCCATCCTTTAGACATCTTTACTGATATCACTGAAAAGTACCTAATGTTTCCCTGGTATAAAATGTTTTGGCGTTGGCTTTAATTAAAAGCCTGACCTCAGGATAGGGCATGACAATTGAGTTCTTTGAGATATTTCTAGTGTAACTCATAACTGCATGACATTGAGAGGGTACATATAGAAATTAGGGTTATATCAGGAAGAGCTTAGAGGAAGCATTATTTTCAAGTTTTAGTTATTCCTGTTTTTAATTAGAATGAAACTAGATTCTGTGCTTTTTCACTTGCTCTTCAGATATTCCCTTTCCCCTTGCCCTACTTAACTCATAGTTGACTTCAGTGTTCAAGCTTCACTTCCTCTGTGAACCTTTCCTTGATCTTTGCTCTTCACCCACCAGCATTGAGATGGCAATTCTTCCCCTCTCTCCTCTGATTGTATTTAGTCTATTCTAGTGCCTGACACACTATAATTGTCTGCTATTTTTCTTTCTCACAAGTTTACCAGCTCCTAGAGAGCAAGGAGGTACCCCACATCCCTTATCTCTAGTTCAGTGTTTGTTCTCTTGGATAATATGTGGTACATAAAAAGTATTTAAATGTTAAGCAGATAATGTTTAGATTTTAACTTTTCAAATGAAAACGAGATATAGTATATGAAAAGTAAAAGTCCCTTAACATTTTTAACTTTTAAATTATTGGAAATTTTTTAGACTTGGAAGCAAAACTTGGTGTCTAATAATTCATTTAAGTGTCATCTATGAAGAAGCTTAATAGGCATCTCTGGCCTGGCTGTAAACAGGAAAGATTAATTTTGATGAAGAGTAGGATAGTACTCTACTAAAATAGTATTGCAACTATCCTAGCAAACACTTTTTTTTTTAAATTTGGAGACCAAGTCTCACTCTGTTGCCCAGGCTGGATTGCAGTGGCATGTTCCCGGCTCACCACAACCTCTGCGTCCCAGGTTCGAGTGATTCTTCTGCCTCAGCCTCCCGAGTAGATGAGATTACTGGCGTGCGCCACTACACCCAGCTAATTTTGTATATTTAGTAGAGACGGGGTTTCACTACGTTAACTAGGCTGATTTTGAACTCCCGACCTCTGGCGATCTGCCCGCTTCGGCCTCCCAAAGTGCTGGGATTAGAGGCATGAGCCAGCACGCCCACACTTTTTATGGTTTTTGTTTGTTCGCTTTTTGTTTTGTTTTGTGGTAAAACTCAAGCCCTTTTCTGTTTCTTTTAGCGCAAATATGGGAAGGTATTAATTTGTAAGCTAGATTGATTTTCCTGGAAAAACTAATTTTTTTATTCCTATACTTTAAAAAAAATAAATGCATATGAGACTTTATTTGCCTTGCCATTTCCTAGAAAACAAGTAATCTTTAATAAGGAGAATGAAAAATAGAGAATACCACCTTTTCAGATAAATAATAAATTATCAAGGGACCAAGTACTTTCTGGAAATCAGTTGCTTTGTTTACTAGTTCTAATTCTATCACTTGCTTACTGTGTGACTTTGGACAGGTCGTTTAATCTCTTGTATGAGAAGGGGAAAAGAGAGGGAGCTGGTCAGACTTGGCCTTTCAGTTCCAGTGGGCTGCGATCTAGTGATCACATGCAAAAAAAGAGGAGACAACCCATCGAAATTGAGAAAGGAAAGTACTGCTGTGGGAAATACAATTAAAAAAAATATTTTGAAGGAAGTATATTGGTGGGTTCTCCTCTATAGCATGTTTGTGTATATGTGTGTGCATGCATGCACCTATAGAAAGTTTATTTCCTAAGCCCTACTAAAATTGGATGTTGGTTGCCTCTTTACCAGAAGAATCAAAGTTTTGAGGAAATTGACCAGAAAACAGAAATTATACTTACTATCTAACATCTGATAATACTCTTACTACATCAGGTTCAAGATGTTGTTCCTATAACTAGTTATGACACTGCTGGATCATTCCTTCTGCTGGGATGTAACAATGGATCAATATATTACATAGGTAAGTGTACAGTCCCTTAAAATGCTCCTGCTTAAT